TCTTCCTCCGCTTCTCTCTTTCCAAACCCTGGCCCCCACTGCGCCCTCTCAAGAGAGACGGGTCGGGCAGCACAGATACTGCCCCTCGCCCCTGCGGAGCTGCAGACACCGGGGGTGACAACCAAGACTGACAGACTTGAGGACATACAGTCTCCTCTCGCCTTCCAGTTTCGGCCTCCACCAGAGAGAGAGCGAACCGAGGAAACAGGGCTTTTGTTGTTGACATCTGACCTACGACAGAGTGTCCCTGCTGGAAATAAGAGCGAGGGAACCCGAGGAGCTGCCGCGCACCCTGACATCCACCTGCAGAAGGAGCATCCTATAGCTCCTCCATTTCCCCCACTCCTTTCTCTTAAAAGAGAGATCGAAGGAGATAAAAAGAATGACTCCTGAACCAGCCGGCCTCCCCACAACCAGTCCGGAAGGACAAGCGAAGTCGCTCCCGTAAGGTCAGCCTCTGGCTGGGCAAAGAGCCCCGGAGGAGTAGCCCCGGGACCTCCGCCGGGGACGGCCCGGCCCCGAGCAGTGGCCTGCCGCACCCTCCCGCCGCCGGCTGAGCCGGCCAGCCCTGCGACTCCGGGCCTGCCCTCCGAGCAGGCACCGTCCTTCCAAGTCACCTCCTCTCCACCCGACACGGGAGCGCTCCCCGAGAGCGGAGCCCTGTCGTCAAAGGCGAAATATTCCCTGGGCGCCCACCCGAGTGTCCTGCAGAGGGCAGAGGCTGCTCGCTTTCCGCAGCCCATTCCGCGGGCTATTGACCAAGGACTTCTAAATCCATACCCAGCTTCAACATTTTACCCGTCAGCACGTCTGCGGTCACAAAACACTTCTTCTTTCTGTCACTTCTCTTCGAAACTATTGATAAGATCATTTAGCTGAATCTGTTTGGGATGAGTGTAATATTGACTAGAAGTTAGAAAAGATGATTAAATCTAATAAGCCTAGAAACTATCGGGGTGGTGGGGGGGAGGGGGGTGTGCAAAAGAGCAGGATATCGCACTTAGGAAACCGAGCCAGGCACGAAGGAGCTGAACACACCGCCGAGCGTGCGAACACTGCGCAGTTGGATGTCGCTTGTCAGCGCGCCAGCCCCGCGGGTCCCCAGCCGGATCCCCTCCGGGAAAACCGACCCGTTCGTCACCGCAGCCGCAGACACCTAACGTGAAAACAGGGCCATCGCCGCGGGGCCCGGCCCGGCCCGGCCCGGCCC